GAGGTCATATGAGTTCTCGAAATGGAGGGCAATAAAACAAAATAGGTTCTTTATATGTGTCCGGGGAATGGTGTTGGAAAATGAAAATATCGTCACTACAACCCTGCCATTGTAAAACCACTTGCCCAAATCTTTACAGACCTCTTAAGGATGCTGCTCCGAAAATCTCTGGAGAAGGGCGTGCTCCGGGAGACCGCAAATTTGCCGTTGTTGTTACACAAAGGTGGTCCTAGAACTAACCCACAGCATTATAGACCGGTTAGCTTGACTAGTATTCTATGCGATTGCGTGGAAAAGGTAATCAGGACTCGCCTGTGCCCACCTCTTATAGTATTTATTATTGAGTGAGGGTCAGCATGACTTTATGAGAAACAGGTAGTGACTAACTAACCTGTTATGCTACCTAAACGAAGTCACTAAGAAGTTGGACGAAGGCCAAACAGTAGAGGTATGTTTCCTTGAATTCAGTATGACGTTCGATGCCTAATTCAGTTTCCAAAGGACGAATATGGCTTTTGCCAATCGAGCGTCCAGTTCGTTGTGTTGTCGGCGGATGGTAGCAGTTTCCAACACTGCGTACAGTTCAATAGGTGTTTGTGATCCTCTCAATTTAGTCCCGTTGCCAGAACGTTGAATCCTTGGGGGTATGCTGAAAGGGAGGAAAACAAGCAAGGATATCTCCTCGCCTCATTGGTTAGAGACCTCAAGTACACATGCGTTAGTATACGCAGATCACATGTGACAGGACAGTCAGTTTTAGAATAATTCTAACATTCAAGCCCGAGTCTGCACCATTTCAAAGCTTCCGGCTAAGGTAGAATTTATTCCTTATGTTCCCAATCTAAATACTAACTTCGGGAAACGTTGCTGACCAACATGCGTCCAGGGCCACCTTGAAGGCATTAACATTTGTGCAGTTGACCACTTCTGCAGGTAATCTGTTCCACATAGGCATGACCCTGTGTGCGAAGAAGTCTGCCCGTACATCCAACCTGGCGTGGTTTTGCTTAAGTTTATAGCCATGACATCTCGTGTTCTGAGCACGAGAAATCGTAAACAAGTAGTCTAGGTTGAGTCCTGATAGACCTCTTACAATTTTGAAAGTATCTATCAGATCTCCCTTAACTCTTCTACGCCCCAGAGAAAAGAGATCAAAATCTCTCAACCGCTGCGCACAGC